ATTAAAAGCACAAGTTTAACTCAAAAACATAACCAAATCATAAGCTAGAAGGGTACAAAATGATATGTAAATATGCACCGATCAGTAAGGTCTATGGAACCGGTGTGGAACCAGCCTAAGACCCTCCGATGCCAAAGTAAGTTTGTTTTCTAAGATCTTTCGCTGTTGACAATATAATAGTATAAAAGTCAAGCTGAAAAGTCTTACCCCTGTATTGTAGTGAAGGGGCCTATTTATAAAGGGCATTTTGTATGCTCTTAGTACTCACTTTCGATGTGGGACTCGTGGGAGGGCCCCGTGAGGTTGACACGAGTCTTTAGATATTTCGGGCAGGTGCTTCGAGATTGATTCTGTACAAGCGGTAAGGGATGCCGATTGTAGACAAGGCTGGGCCTGTAGCGATTGTTTGCGGCTTTGAGAATTGCCATCGGTAGCCGATGCCGATTGTCCGAGGCCTTGGGTACTTGGGTGAGTTTCTCTGATCCACGTGTCGTTGTATGAGTGGAGGGTCAGATATGGTACAAACAAAATATATTTGAAATTTTATACACCTGGACTAGATTTTAGACCTACAAAAACTCAAAATAAAATTAGATTTCGAGTCAGGAACTGATCCATGTTTTAACCGTCAATCCATCACTACGAGAACTTCTAGCGGAAGGCATTTTGCTTGGGCAGGAGAGGGCCTAGCCCCACGAAACGGCTCCAGCGCGCAAGGGCAAGCCTAGGCAAGGCATGGGGCTCACCAACCTAGGCAAGCCCACAGGCAGAATCAGCTTGTGCTGCTGCCTAGGCAAGTGATGTAATGCTGACATCATTATGATGTCTTTAAATAACAAAAAAATTGAAGAAAAAAAAAAGGAAAAAAATCAGAATTTTTTTTTATAAATACCTAGCCATATTCTTTACTTCCCACACCAAAGCTTTACATAAATTCCTCTCCTCATATCTCATGTGAATAGTGGTTGCCCTTAGATTGCCATGGCAATAGGTGAAAACACAACAAGCCTTTTGCAAGAGCTGTCATGGCCCAGTCTCATGGGACCCATGGCTTGCCCAGGCAAGCTTGGCCTGCTGGAAGATGTTTCCTGGGCTCAGGCCATGTCCTGCCCTTATAGGAAGCCGACAAGTTCTTCGTGGGATCGACCCTGTACTTACATAATCTATACTTCAATAGATTCGTGCACTTGCGGGTATTTTTAATTGGTTGTTTGCACATTAATTTGTGTCCTCTTAGGAATGCAACACCTGGCTGGAGGCAATGGCTGGAACTGCTCTAAAGAATGTGTTATCGAGTTACCTGCGTTTGCTCTAACCCCCACAATAAGTTATAGGATTTAAAGTTTCGACCAAAATTGGATGAGTTAAAACTAGGGCTGGCATTTTGTACCATAACACAACAAAAACCAACTGAAGTTTTACCGCACAGAAGCCGACATGTTACGAAAATAGACCGCAACCTGTGGTTTCTAAGACCGACCGCAATCTGCAGTTCTGGAAATCCAAGTCTTGCGATATACCGCACTGACCGCAATATATTTAATTAATTATTTATAATTATTTTGTATAAACTCAGCCTTCAGATGAATCCCTCAGACTCCAAAAACTCAGAAGAAAAAAAACGTAGAAAGAGAAGAGCGAGAGAGAAGGGAAGAAGAGGGAAAAAAAGTATGGAGTGGGACTTTTTGTTTTGCTATTTTGGATTGTGATGAGAGAGAGAGAGAGAGAGAGAGAGAGAGAGATGAGGGAAAAAAAAAAGCAAAAAGGGAGAGATGGGTGAATGCCTAAAGGGAAATGCTAGCAATCTTCTCTCTAACCTTCTCATTTGGACATTCTCCATTTTCCTAATGACATGTGTCACTCTCTTTACACATAAAACAATGCTATTAATTACCAAAAAACCAATAATTATGTTTCCATATTTGCCCTTGGTTGAAGCTAAAACGTCTTCTCCTTGCTTTATCGTTCAAAAGAATGCTCCCTGCCTTTTCAACTCTCAACCACAAAATGCACTCTTTTTCTGCTTCTTTGTCCATGAATTGATTGACTGTGTTAATAAAATTTCGATCCAGCCAACTTTGTTCTTTGCCAATAGTCTTGTTGAGCTTCTCTTGCTCCAAGTCTAAGGCCAAAGGTATGGTTTGTTTCATTTCTGAAGTATTATTGTGCTGAAAATTGATATATTTTGAAAGTATTTGCTAATATTAAAATGTGTTGTTTTGTTTCTACTCAGATTTGGGGGATATTTTGGTTTATTTAGTAGTATAAGAAATGCAATCAAGCAATTTCCTTTGAAAAAAAAATATTTGTCTGTAAACTCTGTACCATGGGAGTGCTTACAGATGTGAAGGAATTTTTTTTTCTATATAAAATAGAAAATTGACATTTCTTTTGTGCTTAAAAAAAGACAAACGTTTCCTCTTTTTTTAAAAAAAAGAGGATATTTTATTTATAAAAAAATAATGTACGTTAAAAATAATAATAATAAGATGGTAAGAAAGTTGTAAAATTTTTTTGGATAAATTGAATACATTTAATAATGGTAAACTTGGAAATCAAAAGTTAGCTTGTATAATATATTGATGACATTGTTTTAAGTATAAGGAGAATGACACATGTCATGAGAAAAAGGGAGAATGTCAAAAGGAAAATGTTAGAAAGAAGGTTGCTAGCATTTCTCATGCCTAAAAGAGGGAGAGAAGACAGGTTGCGTGAAAGAACTTGGGAAGTTCTGTCCAAAAAAATAAACCTTGGGAAGTGGGAGAGGGAGGTAGGGAAACGTGAAAGAACTTGGGAAGTGGGAAACGTGAAAAAACTTGCCAGCATATATGTTCGGTTTTTGCGGTTTTGCCGACACCGACCGTATTTCTCGGTCCAATAGCATTATGCTTAACCCGACCGTATTTCTCGGTCCAATAGCATTATGCTTAACCGCATCTTCTCGAACGGAAGCGGTATCAAATATGTCAATACGGCAAAGTCTCGGTGGGTTTGCAGTTTCTCTAAAAAATCGTGGTTACCGAACCGCAATCACTCCTAATTAAAACGTTAAAACTGCAGGAGTCATAATGAAACTTGCTCCTTTAAAAATAAATCAATAAAACTTTATTATACATTGCCCCCTAAAACTATAAATCCCAAATTGCTCTCCGAAAGCCACGACGACCCCCCTTGCCCTCTCGACTTGACCAAAATTTTGTCTCGCTTCGCCCACATCGTCCTATCAGTAACTCCGTCAAAATTGACAATGTGTCACCTGCATTACCCTTCTCATTTTATGCATTATAGGACCCATGTTAGCATTTTGATGGAGTTTTCGAGGAAATTGACAGTGGGGGGCAAAGTATAAACATCAGTCAAATAGGGCAAAGTGTAATTATAACTTCCAAGGGCTAATGTGAAATTTGACCGTAATTTTACAGGAATCGCAGCAATTAAGCCAAAAGAAAAGCAAAAACAATACTGTTATTAAGTAATTTGGCATGGCTGAAGCGAATGTTCATATGACTCCATGACGTACCATTATCCAACACAACTTTCTACATGAAAATTAAACCCAAATACCCAAACAAACAAAAAAATTCACCTAAAGATTATTTGTATTGTGGGAAGAAGCTTGCCTTTTTCTAATATGTACATATTCACACGGCAGTATGAGATAGAAAACCATAACAAAATTATGGTCCATAGAGTAACTCAGTCCCACCTGGTAAGTTTTTATATTTGGCCAAGTTGCTTCTCTTATTTACACATCTTCAAATCATCTAATTAGCATAATGCCAACATCTATACAAGCACAAGAACTAGAGAATCTTTTTTTTTTTTTTGGTCTGAACAAGAACTAGAGTACCGGATCAAACTAATTCCATGATAAGAAGCACGCTGGAAAGTGATGGAGTTACAGTGCAGCATGCTACCTCAGAATATGGACATGTTCTGATGAAAAGATTCCCAGCCGATTTGTTAGCCACATAGTTACAAAGGTGGACCTCTCCATTCCTCACAGTGAGCTGCTTGTTAATGACTCAGAACTGAGAAAAACCAGCATTTGGTAAAGAACCGCATCTTGCCTCAACTGCCAACCTCTTAATAACACCTCGGCATGGGTCAGATCCAAATATAAGGTTTGATATCCCAATTGAACAGCTATTCTTTCCTAGACAACCCTGCAAAAAGGTAATATTCTCAAAATAGGTGATACCAAACGAAAAAAGGCACGAAACAAGAAGCAAAACAACATCGAAACAAAGTGGATTTAAGCAACGCCACTGAACTTGCTCTTATGTCTTATCTATCAGGCCATAGGTATTTAAGGTTACAATCGTTTGAAATTGTTACCAGAACATGGCATTGCCAGTGACTGGTGACATCATTCAGTGGAACTTCCATCACTTTATTCAGAAACAACTAAATCTGTTAGTGAGTCCCTTGCTTTATTTTTTAACAGTGTCAACTTACAGTCCAAAACTCTACAATGAAGAGAATCTCACATTCTTCGACCACAGGAATAGTTTCTATTTGAAGAAGTGAATGCCCTATTCAATCAAACGGAATTTTAATATAGAGAACATACATTTGAGTGACGATAACGAGATATGAGAAAAGAGCAAGTTGTCCAACTAAGAAAAGGGGCCAACCAAATTCTTACAGCAAAAAGCATTACAGTTAAATAATAACTCCCAGCCAATCTATGAAAATCAAACAAAAGGTAGCTCCAGAGGCCTCCTTTGTACCAAAAAAGAAGAAACAAAAATCAAACAGTGAATGTCCCTAAAATGCTCAGATAAAACAAAGCCCACAAAGACACCAAAAACCTGCTCCAATCCCAAAGGAAATCCACATCTTCCCTCTTATCTTAAAAATTTCTGGTGTTTCTTGAAAAAGAATATAAAAAAACAAATAACCATTTAGACTGCAGAACATAAAAGAGTGAAAACCTTGTTCACAGCACATTGCATCGAACGACATGATTTGCTCCTCTCCAGTCATGCACATAAAAAAAGGAACAGGGGTTTCTTGGAATGTTCGAAGGAAAAAAGACAGTATTAAGGCCTACCAGCATGCAGTTTTTCTGGTTATCACCAAATTAATCTTATAGATAAATTTACTAAAGCTCTGCAAGCAAACTTGTGCCCCTTTTAGTGGTAATTACTAATTATCCAAAGCGTAGTAATCACATTAGTTCAACACTCGGGCCACAAAGTACATGAAATGTTCAAGTGATACTCAATGCCCATTGCGAAGCAGATACCACGTTTATATGAATTTACTGGAGATGATCTAAAACATCATTACCTCAGAGACTATGGACAATGAATTGGCTGCATGACAATTGCCTCTAGCAAAGCTCTGGCAGCTACCTTGAGGAGTACCATAGCTAGCAAATTCTATGGAAGTAATCATCATCCCATCTTGACACTGCAAATGCATTTCTGGTCTCAGATCATTTACTGCAATTTTTCCATCAATAAAGTCTGGATCGAGCCACTTCTGGACGGGTGGGTAATGAGACTCTGACACTTGAGCACAGATGACTCGGGTTGCACGCAACTTGATTGAAATCTCAAATGGATTCCCTCCAGTTTCCTCCAAGATAACAAGTAAATTACTGGAAGCCTGTAACCATGACCGTGGTATGTGGTACCTGGAGAATAACCAATTCTGGCTATGTTTAACAACTAAACTTATTTACTATTTATTCAAGTATAGATTACAAAGGTAGACTCCTAAAGTAAAGGGAACAATTTGAATGAAAGGGTTGCAATAAATTTTTAATAGGGAACTACATTTCTTCAGCCAGATAAAACAATGGTTTCAGCTAGTTTTAATTATTTCATATATTTCCACATAGAAATTTACCAGGTTTGAGTAGGCTTCCCGCAATTGGTTGAGCACTTATCGGAGTTGTATGCCCCACGATAATCACAGATTTCTTGGCATCCATGCTTTGGAGCAACAAGCGTCCAATATCTTCCTATATGGTGGCCGTTGACCCAAGCCTGGCCCTTTCCCATGCTTCCTAAATCAAGAGCAACTGGATCTGTGCCAGCAGGGTTGTCGAAGTACGTCTGCTTTATTTGAAAACAGGAATATTCTTAAATAAATTATATCTTAAGAAATAAATGAGTGATATGCTATGCACTACAACTTGAAGAGACCAACTTCTGATCGTTATTTCAATTTCCAACACCATCCTAATTGGGTTTCAAAAACCTAACTTGTTTACTAGGTCCATTAGATGATCAAAATAAACATAGGCCCATTAGAAAACTAAGCATCTAAAACAATTGCAAAACATAACCCATTTGGTCTATGCGAAGGCCATTGAGATCTGGTCTATATGTGGGTTGAGATGGGGATTCAAGATCTCAACTCAGATATCAATCCATCGGGCAAACCAAGCTACTTCTCTTCCAGAGCCATTAAAAACATGAAGAATTCATCTCAACTCCTGATAACGCACATAAAATTAAGAATTCTGATGATAAATGAAGAAAATACCAGAAAAAGACTAACAATAGACAATTTGTAGCAGGCACTGACAATTTTGAACCTTTTTCCACTCAAAAAGTAGCAACACCTAAGCATAGTGCTCAGGTGAAATGAAGTTGTGTTCCCTCCCTACCAACTAGGGTCCATTTGAATAAGGAGCCACGTTATATTAAAGGTATTTTAGAGCCAAGAAAAGATCAGTGGAAAACATGGATAATCCCTAATCATTACAAAAGCAAAGGAATAGATGCTTCACATATAAGTTTTCATAATGTAACTTTTCTGAAGAATTGATTTACCTTGTACCAGGTAAACGTGGATGGAAAAGCATCTAGGGACAGCTCAGCCCAATCTGCCTTCTCATTTTCTTCTATGGTGTATATTTTCAAGAACTCACCCTTAAGCCCAACCTATAATCAAAACAAATTAACATCCACCCGACAACTTTAATACTTTTGACAGATAAGAGCTTGCAAAATAAATTTATTTCACAAAAGACGAGATCAAGGTATTAGATGCAATAGCCGTGTTATAAGAAAGGTAAACAGAATTTGGTTTTGGAAGCAGTGACAAAAACGAGACAAAGAATGTCTGTATTCTTATGAGCTTCAAACCATTTCCAATTTTGCAAAAGGCAAATTCGAATACCTATTTGGCATTGAAAATTGTTCCATAGAGTTACTAAACGTCTTGAGTTCCAACTCTTAATGCAGACAATAAACCCCTCTTTATTCTGTTAAGAAACCATGGGTAGAACTTGCCCCAAAAAACCAGCTTGTACGGAAAGGGTGCCCATGAGCTTTAATCTAGGATATGCTATTTTTCCAATGTGGGATCATGCGTCCTACCATATTCCATGCAAAAGTATTCACTAAATGAGAGAACCAGGTCCTGATCAAGACTTTAACATTTCCTAACTTTGTCATACATGAGCTTAAGATTGCATGTTGTAGATTTAAAATAATGAAGATGAGGAAAGATTTTTTCTCGCATTATTAACTCAAAACAAGTGCCACAAACAAATGAATGAGACAAAATTTTCCCATCTTCAAATTTGAGTTTGCTGGAGCTACAGATCTATAATGTGGGAGTAATCACCCAGCTGAATTAGTAAATATTTTCAGGAATTCACATTTGTACGAATAGTAATTACCATTGCAATGCATATTAGAAGCTGATATTGCCCCCAATTCTATTATACTGAAGAATGCAACTTTAATATACGAATATCCAAATTTCAAGGATTAGATCATGGACACTCTTGATTTAGGTCCATATGCCTTATAAATGTTTAAATGAGATTTCGATAAAGTGCTGATATGTTGTGCCTGAAAATCTGCAATTTGATACCCGCATTAAGATCTATTTAATAAATGGGCAAAGGTGCAGATAGAACTTATAAGTTGGCAGCATGTAATCAGTATAACCAAGCAAATAACCATTTAACTTAGAAGGATTGTTTGGAAAGGGGAAAAAAGATAGAAGACGAAAACTCACAATGGAATTCACTACTACATCACATACCTGGTAAGTCCATAACAACTTTGTGAGGTCAATATCCCCATTTTTAAAGCCGGTTAGTTTAACCTGTCCTCTGAATCCAGCCCCATCTCTCTCCAAGAAAGCACCATAGTTCTGTATAATAATTATCAAATCATATGACATGAATGGAGTCAGTAACACCATCCCTTGGGGCCACGTAGATCCAAAGGAATAAAGACAAACAGCTTATGTAGATTTTTTTTTTTCCTGAGGAAAAGAGAGAGGATATTAAGAAGAGAAGGGGATGCAATGAAAGTGGACCAGAGGTGCAAATGAAACAACATGCCACATACAATAAACAGAAACACCAAGTCCAAATAAAATTACAAAACAACACCAACCAGGCAGAAACAGAAAACAAACCAGCCAACCTACAATCAAAATCCTCAGAAATATCAGCTCCCCAATCCATATTCAGAAGGAAATGAACGCAGTCAAAAACCCAAGAACAAACTGAGGCCCAAAGCAAGGCATAGAATCTGGCCTTCTCCCACAGGAAGTCCACTCTCCCCGGCTTTACCCTCGGAAAACTCTCAATAAATAGAGAGTAGCAAGAAGAAGGCAGCACCAACTCAATCTAGCTAGATGAAAAAGCTTATACCACACTCTCACGGCGTGAAATTTAAGAGCAGAAATGTAAATGACTGCTTTGAAACCAAAGCAAGGCGCAAGCTACAAGTTCCTAATTCAAGGACAGATTGGGTATGTTACTTAGTTCATGATAGTATAGGTACCACCCTTAGGACTTCACTAGGATGTAGGTTTATTCAAGTGAGATGGTAGCTCACTTCTTTTCCAGGCTACTACCTCAGAAAGTTACTCCTTCACTTAGCAGTTAGCACCTACAGAAGAATAAACAACCTCATTCATTAAGACTTGCAAACCATTCCAACTTGTCTTTTGAGAAAGGAAATGCATATATTCTTACACTTCTGTGAGTTCCATCTTACGAGCACTTTCAGTGAGATCTAACAAACATCAGTGAGACTCTTCCTGTGTTATTAAGGTGCAAAAAGTCTCTCTTCTATCCTTTGAAATATAGGCCAAACCATGTCCCAGTTTTAGACTTGATCCTCACTAACCAGATTCTATCCTCCTGATACAAACTACTTAAAAAATCGACCCACCCAAAGCGTAGTTATTTAAAATTTGTTTACCTGTTATAAGAAGTTCCTCATATATATAAAATTCCTAGATCTCTCTCACACTCTGTACATATATATACAGTTTCTGTTATCCGGATGTCCGCAGGATATTATCGTGCGGATGCTATTGTAAACAGGCAGGAAAGCAGGGAGGTGAAGTACAAAATACATGGCGCCTGCACGATAATAACGTACAGATGTCCGCATAGGAGAATTTCTATATATATATAAAAGAGAGAGAGAGAGAGAGGAATCAATTTCTTTTAGGGTCTCATCTCATCTCTCCCCACTTGTCCCCCTTTACTTCCACCAATTACTTTACATCCAAAGGCTTCGTGAGAACACATAACATTGGTTCTGAACATGCTAAACTTTTTACCTGCAATCCCACTGTCTGAGATAACAACACCAAATCATTGTATCCCTTGAGAAACTTAACAGGTTGCTCCACCTTGACCCAATGACCAATGACACTGCCTTCAATAAATATTGCAATAACACATATATTAGACAAACCAATAGACAATAACGGTTAGAGAGCATATGAAGGAATAATATGCACTGCCACATTGAAGAAATCATATATCTGCAGTAGTTTGTTAGTATGAAAGTCCCAGAAGAAGTAGATTAACTTGAGTCAATTACGCATCTTCATGGGGACAAGAAAACAACCGCAATGATATTCATAGGAATATAAAACACTGATGTATTCAAAAGGAATAGTTACTCAGATTCGTGAGTATATGAATGAATATCAACAATCATAAGAGCTACGTCTTATAACCATAACAGCAAGGTTATAGCTTCTTGAGACTCCTAACAAACAACTACAATTACCCATTATTAGGTGTGAACTTAGAACATATATTATTATGACGAGACTCACTCGCCACGTCAACACAATACCCCAAAACGATTAGTCACTAAGGTCTTCCCATAATCGCTCCAATGACCCAGATCAAAATGGCACATATCGTAGGGCTTGGCATATTTTTTCCTTGTATCGTGACTCTAGTGCTTTAAATTGACTACTAATATCCTCTTTTCTGGATGTTCATGAAAACTGGTGGGGTCACGATGATGAATAAGTATCAGCAGGAACAGCCCTTTAAAATGATTCCACAAAGCTAAATATCTCTTGATAATTCTTTTACATATCTTCCCTAGCTCATTCCACTTCTTTCTTAATGAGCCACATATTAATACAAATCTTTCCATTTTCCAGATCATAATTGCTCTAGTGAATAACTAAAGAAAATAGACAGATGCTCGTTCACGAATGGATAAACCTATATTTTTACAAGATGCATCATAGTCAGAACTACCATCACCTGTAAGCTGACCATTAACAAATACACGTAACACATCACGCATGCTATCAATTGCAACTGCTGGACTAATCTTGCTTTCCTCCCAAAAGGAGATGTCTTCATCTGAAACAAAGATTCTGCATTCCACAAGTGAATTAATAGGTATTGACAAATATCAAAGAGTTTTGAAAAGAAAAGTTAACTTGCTCAAAATAAAATTTGACATGAGTTGATTTAAGAACTGTAGGTACATTAAACACTAGCAATCTCCATCAGAGGGATGAAAATCAAGAGAATGAATTTTGAAACCTGCGCTATCATTATGCAACACATGAAATTCCAACCATATAATTGGAAATCAAATATTGGTTACAAATTACAGTTGACAACTACTAGATGCCAAAACGCAGTTACTATGAATGTTTCTTTATTTTCAATGACTGAAAGGATAAAGGATGTAAAATCCCAAATGACTGGGTAGCTACAACCCAGTTATCACTTTGTTCCGTCATAGAACAGTATTTTTTTAATGCCAATCAGAAAATGTTAATGAAATCAAATAAGAAGTGAAAGGCCACATAGGTGGAAGGCAAGGAGAAAGAAGTCACAATTTGATATGTTATGCCAGGCAGGAAATGTTAATGTTTGTTATGTTATGCCACACAAAACTCATCCTATCCAACAAACCTGATCCACTTGTAGAGCTGTATTCAATAATATAGATGTACCTGGTTATATGCCAGAGATAATCAGAAAGGTCTTTCGTCACATTTAAATGCTCCAATATTCCTTGAACTGTAAAATTATTCTCGCTCCAAACACTGATTGGCTCTTTTACAGTCATCCACGATTTGGTGATAAACAAATCTTCATTCTTGGTAATGAGTTGTTGTCGTGTAGATATACCTGAGTAAAGAGGCAAATCGAACTCTACACTTTTGATGGTAGTTTGTGCCCCAACCTGCCCAAACATTGGAACGAAAAAACAAAACAAAACAAAAAAGACTCAGAGAAAACCACTTAAAAGCTTGTTATAGGCTAACATAAGCACAACTGTGATATTATCTTCATTTAAGCAGTTCTTAATTGACAAGGATCATTCTAGATGAATTTACCCATAAATTATTTAGAGATACTAAGAACTAAACTTCATTGAAGTACCTAACTGATGAAGGGAGACATGCAACTCACCGCATCAATATAATTTGTATGCTAAAAGAATCACTGGAACCATTAGGCAAGAATGTTTATGGTTTCATATAGAATCAAAATATCCTGTTCTTTCTATTTCACAGGGGTTTGGAGGAATTTCCGCGTATGGTCACTCCAAGCAGGTTGGTAAATATTCAATTCAGCTCATCACAACAGCTTGGCTGTTGAGCTCAAGTTATAGTATCAACAAATTATTAATAGCTTCAATTAAAATTTCATTCAGAACGCAGTACATCACTGAAATTTCAATGCAGGTCATATGATGTGATATATGCTCCCAACAGGTTGTGCAATGTCAAATAATGCAACCATACCTTGGCAGTGTTGAACACCACGTTCCGGCAGTCTGGCAAAATACTGACTGACCATGGTGGTAGGTTATACTTTTGACCAAGAAATGTTACAGAAGCTGCTTTATGTTCATCGATGTTTGCGAGGAATGCGGAGCAACTGATTTGAGTTCCATACCAAGTAATGTTCAGGCCTTCATGGTGAGTTTTGATACGGTATACATGTGCCTGAATCCAAAACAGAAATTATCTTGAAGGTAGGACTAACAAAACTCCAAAACGACCCACAGAAAAATGATGCCAATGGAACATCACTGTTTCTGACATTAGTCACATGTAAAAGACCTGAGGATGGAACGGTAAAATATTGGGAAACTTCTCTAGTGCGGTTCTATATGTCTAACAGAACGTTTTTTTTTTTTTTCCTTTCATGGAGCTGTTTAACTCTAGATGGCAAATTCTCCCCCATGGAGAAAATTTTGAAAGAGTGAAAGAAACTTTTAACAGACAATATATCTCAAACTACTTATTTCATTTCAATTAGGAAAGCAAGTGCTCTAAGAAGATCCACCGTTTACATGAGACTACAATGACAAAGTAAATTATTTAAAATCAGACATTTTTTTTAAAAAAACACGGAATGGTTTATTCTTTTGTCTATGTGTGTGTGTGAGAATTTAGGGACACTTGCAAATATAAGCAGTTAAGAACTGGATCATCAGATCACTAGTTTCTCTTTACAACTACCTCTATGAGGTCCTGATAAAAAGTCTAAGAAGAAATACATGCTATGGAGAACATGATAGGTGACAAATCACGACGACTACCACTCAAATAAAGAAGATGCATATATTGATTATAATTTATATCAAATTATCAAGACCAGACAACTATGTAGATAAGCGCACTTATTACAGCAAGAACACATAACTCAAGGTTTGGCTGAAACCTCTTGCTTTGGTCCCAATTTTATATAATGCGGTGAATCAGCAGCAACAAGAGCAGGTTCACAGAGCTTTATAGCAGCATGTAGATCCTTCAAATGTCCCCATTTAGGATCACTCAGCAGACCTAGTTAATAAATCAGTACATTTATTGGATTCAGTAATGTAGCAATTATGCTAACTTTTCATTATAATATAATCCACAGGAAACTCATTATGACTCAAACGGAAGGGCTTGCACATGCACTGAGAGAAAATGAAGCACCCAGAGGATTAAAATGTAGTCATTTTGACCCAGTTTAACCTACCATATTCATCAATTGGAGCATCATAATCATAACTGGTAATATAAAAGGGGCCCCCAGAAGTCCGCCCAAAGTTTGTTCCACCAAAATACTGCAGCCACACAGCAGGGTTGTCAAGATACAGCATTCGCATATAGTTAATAGGAGCATAAATAAGACATAACTCAACGACATGTAATTTGACAGCAAACAAAGTAGGGAAATCAGTCCATATTTCAGCTGTAGCTATTTCCCTTATTGCCAAAAAGTAATAACTTCTGAACCCTGCCTAGCTCATGTAGATGTTTGACTATTGTCCCATCCCATGATGGTACTAGTTGGTCCCTATCCATCCAGCTATAGAAACCTTAACTTTGTACTTCTTTCACTAACATTAAAAGCACTGAAGAAGGCAATTATGGAATCATTTTGGCCCCAAAGGAAACAAAACATTTCGGTCACAGCAAAAAAATGCAAAATAAAGTTTAGCAGCATAATGACACCACCCAAGACATGTCAAACAGATTTACGTATCAAACTTTTTATCTTGCATATGACATACAGTTCCATGCACTTTTCCATGCACTTTTATCAAACTAAATCAGCAGTGCATATATGGGTTGTCCTTGTACCATATAATAATTCTGAAAGCTCCCTCCGCGTTGGTAAAAGCGTGCTACTGCAAATGCAAGATCTTCAACAGGCCTGTGAGGTAATCTTCCACCCCATGACGCATACCTTTAAAAAATGAATGTAAAAAGGTTAGACAACCACTGCAAGAAGCAAAACGTGTAAAACCCCAAGGCGAGGACAGAATTCATTTTGGGAGGATGTGTGTGTTTGGAATTATTCATTGCGTACCATTTCTTCCTGTCTTTATAGGATTTTCCTGGTCTCATAATGTGTCCAAGCTGGCAAGAAAGTGATAACTTGTTGGTAGGTGTTTTTTAGCCTCTTTTGGAGATTATTGGAAAAATAAGAGACTCTTTGAGGGCAAGGAGGAAGTAGCAGAGTTGCATTGGGATAGAAGTTAGAAATAAAGTTTTGCTGCTCTATGGGCTTCTTAGTCAAAGAAACTGAAGAACATTCCCTTCTGTGTGATTCTTCTGGACTGGGGAGAGTGTTGTATTCAATATAATTTGTGTTTTTTTTGAGGTCGTTGATATATTTTTTGAGGGATTTATCAACCATCTTTTTTGTACTATATTTTTAGCAACACAATGTGAGCCCTTATTATATTATAAAAATAAATAATTCAAAGTTGGAGGCCTAATACAAATACATAGATTTAAAGAAAGTAAGGCCAGCAAATTCATGGTGTATCAGCATACCATCCATCCCAATCTTCTGTCCACAGTGTTGGTTTGTTATAGGAATTTGGCCTGTAACCATCGCAATAATATCCATTGCATGCATCTATCTGTGAAAAACAAAAACTATTTATACATAGATTACAGCCATGCAGAAATTTCTAAACCTTATGGGCTTTCACAAAACAAAGTGCATTTAATTACTTGTCCTATCCGTCACATCTTGTTGATTTTTAATACTTGTCAACTTTCATTTTTCAGTGCAATATAACATTCATAAGCATTGGTGACAAATGGACACACAACACAAGGTAAAGGCCTTACAAGACTTCCTGGAGCATCAACTTGCTTGCACATGACCCATGGAACCCCAGCACCGAGAGCTAGAGCCATCTCAGCAGCCCACTTAACATATTCTTTCCCTTTCTGGCCAAATGAGCTTTCAATATTTCCATATTCATTTTCAATCTGATACAAATTTCATTGAAGCCTCATTAAAAGCATATATGAGTAAAGCCATTTGAAATAATGAAAAAATATAAATAAATCTTATCACGAATGAGCTTATTTAAAGAAAAACTTCATCTGTATTCATCCTGAGCAAGCAGGAATGGAGAAAGAACAGATTTAAATATCTGAATGGGAATGGAAATATGTACTCAGTGCGTGAGTCACCGTGGGAAATATTGCGTGAAACAAAACCCCACGCATCCAAGTCATGGTTATAGAATGGCCTTCACACCAGACATAGGTATGACCCCAACTGAGAATAATGCATGATGGACAGAATATGATATCCACAACTTATAGCAATCCCATTCCTTCTATTATTCTGCTTTCAACTTGCAATTCTCACAATCCAAACAGGGCCCTAAGATCTCATGTAGATAAATAAGCTCAAACAGCCAATCTATGTAATGTTCCAATTGAACTTCAAAATTCTCTTACAACCTGCAGCATAATAATTGGACCACCTTGCCAAGAAAATAGTTTTTCCTCTCGCATCAGATCCACCATCTTTTTAACAAAACGCTGCATTTCCTCCTGGAGAAAAAACAAAGCAGCATAAGATGTCAAAACCACCACTACAAACTGCAGTCTACAGACTGATCAATTCAATGTGTAATTCTACATCAATCCTAACAACACCAGAACAACTCACAACAACTTTTCAGGAAACATTATGTAAAATTTCCCACATTAAAATACTAGTTATATGGGATTGACCAAACCTGTATAACTCAGGAGTAGATAGTGGATTAGAATTTTTTTCTAAAAAAAATTAGCATATATAATAATTTTTTTTTAATAGAAAAGATTTTTATTAACAAAGAAACAAAGGATGTACAAAAGCAGGAACAAGAACCACTAAGACCTATGAAGCTACAGGCACCCACAATGAAACAAAAACAATGAAGCTACAAATTCCAACAAACGAAACAAAAACAGAAAGAGATACAGAAAGCATATATAATATATACATAATAACAATTATCAATTAGGGGATGTAAATAGAAATCTAGAGATAGTCCTATCATTTGTGTTCTTTTTGCATGAAGTGGCTGAATAGAGTTTTGGATGCATAGGACAGTATGAAATGTTCAATTAAAATAAAAACAAAATAAAAACAAAACAAGAAAGTACTGCAAAAGCACAAGTAATATGAATGTGCAAGTGCAGAAACACTTAGGTGCACTGAACCTTAAAAGGCGCATTGTCTGTTCGAAACACTATTCCAGGGATGTCACGCAACCACACTGGGAAGCCTCTGCAATATAGTCAGTTCAAATAAGAGGAAAATTTTCAAATAATTATATACAAGTACCAAATTAATAGTTTTATCAACATCTTATCAAAAAAAACATTTTATTTTAACTTCGACTACAACTTGTTAAGACATTTTATTTTCCCAAGCAATTATTGATACCACAAAAGGTAGAAGGCTTTTTCTGTGGAAAGAACCTATAACACACTAAAAGTACAATAAGAAGTTAAGCACTACCGTATATCATGCAACATACAAATAGACATGATAAAAGGGCATCATTTTCTTTAAATGGAGTGTAAGGAGGAAGGGAACTTGTAAAAAGTTGAAAACAGAATGGGAAAGAAGTAGAGACCCAAAATTCCACTTTGCAGTTCCTTTATATAAATTCTTTGACACCTATTCTCTTTGATTTATTAATAATTACACAATGAAATACATGAATGACTCTTCAATCACCTAGAAGTGTCTAGGAATTTTGAACAGTTTTGCATCATTTTCTTACTGAAGTAATTTAGCAATTATTTACTTCAAATGTACTGTGGACTGAGTTGCAGATGCTAACTTTTAGAAGTGTTTATGTATAAATATTTCAATACCTATTCCCTTCACTTCATGACAGTACATTGTTCTATATTATACAATTTAACACCAACATAATTCACTACCTTGTACTCTTGAATTTCAAATTTACCATAAACATGGTAGACGGCATTCAGTTACAGAAACCAACCACTATCTCATGTGCAATGAACCTAGCAGACACTAAAGTACAATAAGAACTATTGTATATCATGCAACACATAAATAGAGAGAACAACAAGGCACCATTTTTCCTAAAAGGTGTTGTAAGTAGGAAGGTAACTTGTAAAAAAAAAATTGGGAAAGAAGTTGAGACCCAAAATTCCACTCAGCGCAGACATAAGGGCCTATGCGTAGATGGAGATAAAGTCCACTGGCTCCCACTAAATTTGCAAACTTGACGATGTCATATCTCCCCTCGAAGTTGTACTGAACAAGTTATTCAGAAAATTTTCAGCAAAAATAAATGCATCCTATTTAAGACAACCATAAGGGTATCACCCCAGACTAGCTGTAGAAAAAGTTATGGCACCTGTCCTCTCTTGGGCTCATGGCCACTCCAAAATGCATAAGTTTGGATCACATCTGCCCCACCTTCCTTACTCTTTGCAATCAGATCAGGCCACATCTGACATCATGTTTAAGGCTTAAGATTTGTTCAAAACAAAAAGTAACATGTTTGTATCATCTGTGAAAGGTAGTAAATGTATCCCAAAAAACAAAAACAGAAAAAAAAAAAACAAATATTGATACAGAACCCTCTAATCAGGCTCGTCAGCAGCCCTCTACATAACGACCATACAATTATGAAAAATATGCAATAAAAACAACGAGCAATTCTATTGGGACCCATCAAATCGCTAACTAGGCCCAAAACTCTCTCTACACCACATTTCACGTTAACAAAGTAGTGTTGGGTCTAGTTAGCAAATTTATGAAAACTATGACTGATTTAGTAGATTTTATGTTTTTTGACTTCAAGTGTCCCAAGAACTACTTAGAACCCAAAATTCAAATTGTTTCCTCAACAAGCTTGATACAGAAGAAGAAAAAAACAAATGAATATTGAATTTGTTTGTCAAACCATAACATGTAGAAGCAGAAAAGCTATGGCGGAATTTTTGAGGGAGTGAAGTACCTCGGGAGTGGCGCGAGGGTAGTGGATGCCAGCAGATATGAGCATGCGGCGCTTTCCATCGATGATCAGAGCTCTGTGGTCGTAGCTCACGTTGAATGGCTTGAAGAACGTCTCGGCGGCGGCGAACAAAGCAAATTGAATTGCCAGGCAGAGTAACAACACACATCGAATCCAAGGCCTGCCTCTTTGAGCAACCATTTCCTTTCCTCTCTCCGCCTCCGCTTCTCTGTGAGTGTGTGTGTGTGAGAGAGAGAGAGAGAGAGAGAGAGAGAGAGAGAGAGAGAGAGAGAGAGAGAGAGAGAGAGAGAGAGAGAGAGAGAGAGAGAGAGAGAGAGAGAGAGAGAGAGAGAGAGAGAGAGAGAGAGAGAGAGAGAGAGAGAGAGAGAGAGAGAGAGAGAGAGAGAGAGAGAGAGAGAGAGAGAGAGAGAGAGAGAGAGAGAGAGAGAGAGAGAGAGAGAGAGAGAGAGAGAGAGAGAGAGAGAGAGAGAGAGAGAGAGAGAGAGAGAGAGAGAGTGTGTGTGTGAGAGAGAGAGAGAGAGAGAGAGAGAGAGAGAGAGAGAGAGTTGGGGAAGAAGACTGATGGTGGGGAAGAAGACTGATGGTGAGGTCTGGGAAGGAAACTATCGGAGTAAGCAAAGAAGTGGATGTACCATCTTGTTCCCTTACCTAATATGTCGACACCTGTCACTACGGCAGAAAAAGAAAAGAACTCAATTTTACTCAGACTCCTTCAGGTTTGGCATAATTACAGCAAGACGCCGCAAATTTGATTATTACAAGTAAACTTGTTAATTTTCTATTCAAAATTTAATGCTGTCATTGAAAAAAAAAAAATTAGGGAAATTATAGTAAATTTGAAATCAACTTCAAATGACTATATTGCAATAAATCATTTAAAATTTATTTGTTTTCATCCTTTCTTTCTGCGTGTCGTGTATTCCAAATTTTGGCATACATGTATTATAATTGTCTATACAAACAATTTTACCTTATAATGTCATCTAAATTCATAGATTCGTAATCCTTCCATTCAAAAACTCATATGCAAATCCAACATCTCGGCGTAAATTGCAAAATAATAATTTTAAAAAACAAAACTACATGAAACAATTAGGAGGGTGTATTCAATTTAGATTTTAAATGATTTTAAAAGAGTTATAAAGTTGATGGAATTTAATTGAATTTAATTGAGTTTGACTGAATTCTACAAACTCCATATAGATTTTGACTGAATCTGTGTATAGATTTTAACTCAGTTTGTTAGAATTTTATTATTGATTTTAATAGATTTTAGGCGTGATGATGGTGGTGATGGCAATGGCGGTGGCGATAGTGGTTTGTGGGTGCTGGTGAGGGAGGTAGTGATGGAGGAAGTGGGGGTTGTAGTGGTGGTGGTGGAAGTGGGAGTGGCAGCGGTGATGGTGATGATGCTGGCAGTGTTTGCGGTGGTGGTGACAATAGGGGTGATGGTGAAGGTGGTTGTAGTGGTGGCAATGGGGGTAAGGTTGGTGGTGGGGCTGGTAATGAGGACGACGGTGGGTGGTGGTGTCACTAGTAATGGGGGCGACGGCAGGTGGTGGTGGTGGCGACGAAAGTGACGGTGGTGGTGAGACGACAATGACTTTGGTGGTGGTGGCAGCGGTTGTGGTGATTGTCAGGATAAGATGGTAGTAGTAGAAGTGGTGAAATCATATCTTGAGAATAAAAATAATATATCTATTAAAATCTTTTGGGGGAAGCAAAGATTTGTCATGGCCCAATTTAATTCTTTTGTGAAATTACAATTTTGCCCTTGGGAGTAGGGTACTTTGGTCACTTTTTAGTCCAGAAGGATTTTGGGGAAATGAGTGGCATCGTTGTGTAGAGCTCGCTCTCACGAGTTCGTAGACACGTAGTGAGCCCAAATTGGAGTTTTAACGAAAAAGTTGTGGTCAACGGAAATGCAGTGGCACAACCGTAAATGTTTCAAAGTTGGATTTTTGAAACAGACCAATCTTTCTCTCTCTCTTCTCCATCTCTCCCCGACACTCTCTCTCTACACGCGCGGCAACAATTTTCCGAAGGCAATTTCGTCGCCTTCCGGTGTTCGATTCAAGTGAAATTGGTTGCAAAAGTTTTGCATCGATGTTCTCTATCTAACCCACCCATTTTCCCAGCTCAAAAACCCAGGGAAATTAAACTGGAACGATTGCAAGTTCAGTATTTTCGTAGTTTTCGACTCCGTTTTCTGTGACTCCGGCCTCCATTTTCGTCTAGTGAGGTATGAAACATCATCTACTCTTCATGATCTATTCGTTTATGTATGTATTGTAGATTGATTTTGAGGTTCTATAGATCGTTCAAAATACCCATTTTTGGCCGACGGTTTCGGCTCCGTTCGGGCTAGTTTTTGGCCGTGGTCCAAGAACAAAAGTTGATCCGCTAGTTAGTCTGAATCTATTGGTATAGATATTGTAGGGTGTTTCGAGAATTTTCTAGTAACCGGAATTTTCTCAAGACACCCACACACTATCGGCTGCAGGTGGAGGCGCGTGGGCCATTGGGTGGCAACCCATTGTTGTCTCGAGCTCAACTGTATGCTCGGATTCGAATTTGGTTATCGTATGACAGTCGAACGGATATTACGCCTAATAGGCGACATCCGAGTTTGATAGGTTCTGACCGTTGGATCGGTTCCAACTTCAAATATGTTGTTCTCTGTACATTTAGGATCTTGTGGGAACTTGCGGATCGAGAATCAGAGTCTCGGATACTCCAAATCAATTATTCTAAGGTTGGTCGAAGCAATCGCCTTCCGATCGTGCGATTAGCTTACATCCAACCGCTCGATCGAGACCAAACTTATATGACGTATTAAGTAGGCTTTGTTGAACCCGTATGAACTTTAGGATCGAAAATCGGGGGTCGTGGGTCCCGCAGGCCTAGTTGAATAATATGGGAAGTTTGACCCCTCAATTGACCATGAGTCTTTTGAGGTAGTTTCACCCTTCGAAAAGTACTAGAATGACCTTAAACAAGTCTTGATTGTTATTTGAGTTATTTTGACTATGTTGGAATTATGAGATTATATTATTGATTTTTGAAGTTCATGAAATATTTGAAGTTATGGAATATATGATTATGGGATGCTTGATTAATTGGTTGTGAAAGCTAGTCTTGGGACTCGGTTATGATTATTAGGAAGTAAGTGGACCTTGTTTTAATTGAGCGTTACTTTTCCAATATGGAATTGCATGGATAAATGAGATTTGATTTAGAACTTGGCTTATTTGGTTTATTGATGTTTTATAAATGCTATTTAGATACACAACATTGACCACCTTAGCTGACCACCTTATGTGGCAACTGATGTGTCATGCCATGTCAATTAATGAATGTTACCATGAGTCCACTTACTAGGAACGCTAGGGTTTTTTAACATGGCGACATTCATTAATTGACTTGGCATGACACATCAGTTGCCACATAAGGTGATCAGCTAAAGTGGTCAATGTTGTGTATCTAAATAGCATTACTCTTTATATATGTTATGACTGTGATTTTATTAGAATGTGATATGGTTTTTATGGTTATCATTAAAATATATGGATTGGGTGATATGGGTTTGATTATGAAAGTGTTTTATAGATTGTCTTACATATATATATACTTTGGATTATTTTGATTATTGAGACGATGAATATTTTGGGTCTTTATGGAATTTATGCTTGTGAAAATTTATTTTCTATATTATGAATAAATATTTGGGTACATTGGAATATTGAGAATTTGGGAAAATGGAATTAAGGGAGGGTATATTATTTTTATATTATATATATGGGTTGTGAATCTCACCATCATATGTACCTTTCCTGGTTACTATACCCACACGTGGTGTTAAATTTTCCGGCGTGTGGGCTCCCTTGTATACTAGTTACCTTACCCACATGTGGCGTTGGACTTTCCGGCGTGTGGACTCACTTGTTAGTACTTTATCACATGTGATGTTGGATTTTCCGACATGTGGTAAAGCAGTCTATGCGCGTAAGACATGGTTTGGTTTAGCCACACGTGGCGTTGGATTTTCCGGCGTGTGAGCTCACTTAGTTACTATCACTTTATCACATGTTGAGTTGGCTTTTTCGGCGTGTGGTAAAGTAGTTTGCGCATGTAGGACATGATTTGGTTTAGTCACACGTGGCGTTGGATTTTCCGACTTGTGGGCTCACTTAGTTACTATCACTTTACCGCATGTGGCATTGGATTTTCCAGCATATAGTAAAGATCCAAGCACCTTTGTGCCGTAGGCCTTGACTTGCAGTTTGCGTGCGTATGACTTAGATTAGCCACCTGTGGTGTCGGATTTTCCAGCGTGTGTGCTGTAGAGCGGCAGTTTCCTCCCGATTGGATAGTTCATTCCCTAGCCACCTGGTCAATTGAGAATTCTTCCATGTGGTTTAGTCAAACAATCCCCGTGTTGGATTGTTTTCCCCTGATACATGATGATGATGTGGATTGTAATTTAGATATATACGTATATAGATAATGGGTGAGTGAATATTTGTTTTTTTTTCAAATATGGAATTGCTTGCATAAATGTGATTGGTTTGAAAATCGGTTTATTTTTCTCGGGTTAATATGTTATGGGATTTTATTATCATGCTAGTTTCAGCTTTCACAATGTAATATGTGATTTTCAAAGGATTATTATTTTAATATTATTATTATTGTTATTATTATTAGTATTGAAGTATATGAATTTGGGTCTTGGACTTTGGTGATTTTGAGATATGGGTGATATTGGGTTTATTTACGAAATTTGAACAGGGGATGTGTGGATTTTGGCATTTGATTATTGAGATGTCAGATATTACTATAAATGTCTTACGTGTTCATCTAAGTCTATTATATTTATTAAGTAAATGAATAATGTTTAATGGTTAATTGGAAATTTGGTTGTGGGTTGAGTTTTTATGATATTAATTATATGACCTTGTGTTTTGGGATTTGGGGTAGTGGTTTTGAGTTACAGCTGCACAGGTGTTGAGGTTTCCATCATGCGTGTCTGGGGATTAAGTTTCAACCGCACGGGCGTCGAGGATTCCGTCGTGCATGTCTAAGAAATGTGTATATGTAAAGATAAAAGTTTAAAGGGAACGACGGTGGGATTTTCTTGAGGATGTGCATGGTGAGTGCTCTGCACAGGCATGATCATAGTTTTGATGTTTGGACAGTATTGTTATGCAACATATGCCTTGGATAGGGTTGGTTGCGGGAAAGAAATGATTTTGGAAAAGTAACTTAAGTTTCAGAGTAATTGGTTAGTTTTAAAAGAGTATGCTTAGTAATTGTGAGTTTCTACAAGGAAATGGTTTTGAGTTGAGTCATGGAAGAAAGGAGTTGTCAAAATATTTAGTTATATGCCTTGTGGGAATTGAAGTTGAGGAGAATGAATCTAAATTAAATTGTGGGTTTTACTTGGACAAAATTTGTATGCTTCTAAATTGTGATTCTTTTGTCATAAGAACTACGTGTAGCTTGATCCCTCACCTAGGGGTACGTAGGTAGCCTGGAGTTACACCTAGGTGCAGCCACGAATTGAACTATTACTTTTGTTGAGTTTGGTTTTGAATATGTCGGTGGTCTTGAAACCCAGTCAAGGTGAGATTAAATACTTGTTTATATTTCAATTTTACTAAATGGTTGTGATTAAAATATGTTTGTGGTTATGACGAGTTTGAAACCCATTTGGATTGATGATTGATTATGGCCTAAGTCGTTAGAATTGCTTGTGATTGTACATAAATAGTTTTAATTGCATGCTTTGGCATCGTTTTATAAACGGTGGGGCAAGTATGTGGAAACTTTGTTTTAATTCTCTCACGATTTTCTGTTTTGCGCCCCTAGGCAATAGCTTGATCTGAGCCAAGCAACCGAGCCAAGAATTGTACTTTCGCGCCCTGAACTTCTGCAGGGCATTTCTATTTGTTTAATTTCCGTTGAATTTCATTTCGGTTGTAAACTGAAGTCTTCCTTACAATTGCTTTGTTATCGCCCATGTAGGGTTGGATTTAAGGCTGAAGGCCTATTCTGTAAATTGTGTGCTTTTACAGTGTGCGTGCTGCTAGTTAGACTTTTGTTACTGTGTTTCGATAAGTTGAAATTTTGGGAAAAGTCCTTTTTTCATCGGAGACTCTGCCGAAATTTCGGTAGAAAGTCTCGAGCCTCTTTTCCTTTGTTTTCAAAGAAGAGGATGTTGTTAGTAAGTGGGCCCGGCATTGGTTTGATGTCGGAAAAACCACAGGATTTATCACGGATTCTGAGGAATTCGGGGTGGGTCCTGTTATAAAATTAGGGGGGTGTATTCAATTGGGATTTTAAAAGATTATTTATGGATAAATAAGTTGAATGAATTTTAAAAGACTATTTAGGAATGTAATGACTTATAAGATTTTATTTAAGGATTTTTATAATCATGATTTTTTACTTTTGGATTTTAAAAGATTTATATCGTAAGAATTTATAAGATTTGAAAGGATCACATGGATTTTTTACTTTTATAATGCTAACCAACCAACTTTTAGTCGGATGATGAGCAATGGTTGTCTAGTCAATTGCCTTTACAGACACCAGCTTTCCAATGCTTGTTGGAAGTTGTCCTTCGAAATGGTTGGTTGAAAGGTTGAGAGTACTAAGTTTGCTGGAAGTTGTCCTTCCAAAAGGTTGTATGACAAGTATAAGGTTACTAGGCTGCTTAAATAAAAAGCCAATGAAAGTCAATTGGTTCAAGCTGTAGACACTTGCAGCAGTAACAGAAACGGGATTAGACGGAATGGAACCATAAATAAAAGCAAACATTCAAAGTTACAAGTCAATGAAAAAGATAACCAATTTTAATAAAGAAAAGTAAAAGCCAATACAATTTTTCCAATCTTTTAATAGCCAATTTGATGGGCATGTCCTCCTAAGTAGCATTTCTCCACATATCTAAAGCTATGCTAGCCCTTCATGCATTAATATCTTCTCGTTGCTGCTCTTGGGTTTGAACTATAGGTTCAAAATTATCTTCTTCATTAACTGGTAATACTGAAGATGAAGATTCATCTATTGGTTCAATTGGAAATTCATCAGAACGACACTCTTTGCGAAGAAATTTATGTAGTGCTACACATGCTAACTCAAGCTTTGCTTGTGTCTTAAATGGAAATGGAGGCGCTGACTTAAAAATTATGAACCGCGATTTAAAATTGCCAAATATCATCTCGATCACATTCCTCAAGGACGCATGACGAAGATTGAACAATTCATTTTTATTTTGAGGGTCATTATCATGACCTGTAAAATCTTGGAGATGATATCGCACACCTCGAAATGGAGCTAGAAATTGGCTTCACTAGGAAATATTTACCTAATTATATATACTATACATATAAAATTAGTATGAAATGTAAAATATATATATATGTAGGAACGCTGCAAGCATTTGTAGGAACACACACCTCGGCCAAATGTATTACAAATTACACAATATCGAGTATTTTGGCCAATGATTTGTAGGAATACAAGCATTTCTTCAACACAAATAAATCTTGTATACTCGAAAAGTGTTTTTTCTCTAAGAATTGTGCATAACTTTCGGAATACATCTGGATACATTCTATATACTTGTCAGAAGATTGCAGGATCATCGTTCAATGCTTGATGTATATAGTCATATCCAATGCTAGTAATTCACCATTGAGTTAATGGACGTTCAATATGTTCACCACGCACCATAATCAGAAACTGATTTAGCACATGCATTACTGCATAAATTGCCATCACTGATGTGTAAATGGCTTCATAAAATTCTTCATCTATTTCTTCATCATCCATATCTTCGTCATCAATTTCTTCTTCCTCTATATCATTACCTTCATACATGCTCTGTTATGACATTATACGTATATAAAAATATATATATACAACGCTGCAAAACAATAAAAAGAAGAAAATAATACCATGTAGATGAACTGATATGCATGCCAACTATTCTCTACTCAAGTCAAGTCATATAGATACACATTACAATATAATAACTGCATAAAAAACTAAAAGTTGTCCATGTTTAGTACAATGAGGCTACAAAAAAATTTATCAACAATATAATATGTATATGAAGCTGCTGTCTTTCTCTTTCTACATTTTGCTTGCTAAGTGACCCATTAGCATCACGCAATCCACTATTGATAGCATCCACCAAGAGGTGCAACAACTCATTGGTATCGTCCATGGTCCAAGATTCATAATTCTCTTTCTCTTTGCCCTTTCCTTTGTTATTCCCTTGTTGTGAATCCCCCATTTAAATTACTACTACAACACATGTAAGAATATTTCACAAGAATCCGTATCATACCAAACAAGAAAAGAAAAGAAAATAATTTCACTCATTTTTCCTATTTTCTATTTTCTTTCTAACTTTGGTACAAAAATAAGGATATTAGCACAATAAATAAAAGAAGCCAAAGAAATTATCAAACGCTATAGGAGACATGAAATTCTATTCATTGATCAAAGTATAAAATAACTAGAAAACTACCAAATAAAATGATTTGTAATTGATTGTACTTACAAACTGCAATGATAGTAAGTGATCCTAAGCAGGCTCCAACAAGTAATACGAGCTTCCCGAAGCCTCTGCCATTGAAACAGTAAAGGAGATGATCATCAGCCCATGATGCTTGATAAATCAGTTTTTAAAACCCCATCCGAAGAACAATTGGTGTATATATTTTAAAGGCACCCTGCAAACCCAGTAAAAGGAAAAACAACAACAAAACCATCCCACCCTGTAATTAAAAAAGAACTCATCTCTGACTCTAAGTTGCTAATATTAGGAGAGGGATATGAAGTGAAGGGCCATAGACACAGACCATATACAAACTACTGTTGCGAAGGGCCACTGAGAGAAGACAACATGAGAAGGACCATATACGCAAGAAGACACAACATGAGAAGGAAGCAATACATTGTTCAAGAAGAGCTGTTAATCTTCCCTAGCAGACAAAAAAAATCTCACATAAAAAGTCTGATGGGTTAGGGTGAGATTTGAAATAAGGTTTAGTATTTATACCTCCCACTAAAAAGTCACACAAATCCCACATTTAAAAAACATCCTTCGAAATTAGCAAGTTTTTGAATATCAAAAGACTTTTTGTCATTTGTTTAAAGTCTTTGATTGAATACCACTAGATTTGGACACGCTCTTTGAAAAATCCTAATAATCTTAATGGAATACCACAAGACTTTTTAGATTATTTAAAAGTCTTAATTGAATACCACAAGACTTATTTATCTCAAAATAGTCTTTTAAAATACCAATTGAATACACCCTTTAGTCTATAATCAAACGAAATCCACCACTTTTTGCATTTCCTTTAAAATCAATGAGTTTTTTAATATACCCAAACTTTTATGAAGTCTTTTAAAGCCGTGATTGAATACATCCAATTTTGAATGGAGTTTAAAAAATTTGAATTGAATACATCCAGAATTGTATAGACTTATATAAAATCGTGATTGAATACACTTGAACTTTTAAACTTCTTTAAAATCTTTTAAAATCTAAATTAAATACACCCCCTTTAGTATGATCCCCATTAGTCACGACTCAAGTTTTTTATTTAAGTAATACGTATATATTTTTCTTGTTTAGTATATTGCTAAATATAGCACTTTTTAATAAATATAGACTAAATAATAATATTGTATTTTTTTTGTCTAAAATAATAATATTGTAGGAAAAATAAAAACTATACTCCAAATAACATTTCCTGAGACGGAATGTGATTGCTAAAATAAATAAAACCTTTTATAAAATTGCAAAAGTCGTAATTCACTTTTAAAAGAAAGAAAGAAAATATACAGCTATCGGGTCACTGGCCCGGTTCACACTCACCGACCACGGACTCGATTGATTACTTGACCCATGAGTTTGACTTTTTCTTAAATTGCGAGTCCACGTACTCGAAATGCCGGAGGAGAGAAGAACCCAACAACAAACAAAGACAGAGAGAAAGCCACTGAGACTTGAATTCATACAAAACAAAACAAAAATTGTTTGGAAACAAAATTGGAATTGAATTTCCAGGAAGTCGCATAACAAAAAGGGCGATTCTACGAGAACCCAAAAGAGATTTTCTGATTTTCTCTCTCTCTGTCTCTCTCTCAATCACAGTAGCGAAAACTTGGAAAGAAAAGAAAGACGGAAAAGGAAAAGAGAAAGATACATCGAACTTTCTACGCATCCTTGTCCCCCTCACCGTTCTTATCCTTTTCTGCTTCTTCTCTCTGTCTATAAATTGATTGATTGCCATAATATAATCTGTTCAACCCATTTTGTGCTTTGCATCAAAAGACCTGTTCTTGATTCTCTCGCTCCGGGTCTGACTCTAAAGGTACGTTGTTTTTGCCTTTTTGACGTATGTTCTTGTGTTGAATCTTGTTCTTCTTGATGGATGACTTCTGGGTTTTGGATTTTTTCATCGTTTGATTCGTGGGTATTTGTTTGCCGGTTGCATCTTTGCTTACATAGAACGTACATGTAGGTGAAGATTATATCATTATTGTTTGATCGATTTAGAAGGACCCCAATTGATTAGATTAATGAAATAATAAGGGGTTAATTTTATTTTTTGGTGGCACTCGGGGCCTATTATTGACTTTTAGATTGTGACTAAGAGATTTTGTTTGCGTAGAAGAGCTCTGTTTTGATGGGTTGTTTAGGTGTCTTTCAAAAATTTGTGTTTGATTTGGATCAAATTGGACTTGGTAGCAACTTTGAAAACCTTTTTGAAACCATAGGGGGATGATCACTTAATAGGTTTATGTTTCCCCATATATAAAGGAAAACATTACACTTATTAGAACTTTTTTACAGGATTGTTTTACTTCATGATGTGGATGCTTACATGACTCGTCAAACGTTTTGTTCACACCCATCTGTGTATGTGTACGCCGCTGCGTGGGGCTCTGATGTCATGGCATATGGCTGCTGTGCCACTGAGTATAACATTTAGGAAAAAAAGTTTAGTAATGAACTGCTTATGTACTATATATTTGTTTTGTGTTACTTGAGCTTTTTCCTATTTCCAAACAAAAGGAAAAGAGTTCTCCTTTGGAGAATTATCCTTTTTTTTCTTCCAAGTTGCCAACTAAATGACCCTGCAGATCTTGTATATTATTTTGTTTATTGGAGATGCTGCAGATCTTGTAGTTGTTTGGTATACTTGTCATGCCTGCATTTTGGTTTATTTGATCAATGCTTTTGGTTTTTAAAGATTTTAAGTTCTTTAAAGTAGAGCATGTAGATTTCCTTTGTTAACAACCAGTATTCTTCTTCTTTCTGGATGTATAGGATTTTGACCTTTTCACAGTAGCATGGCCTCACACTCATTAGGGCAATTTACAGAAGGGAAAGTGAGGAATTCTCAAAGGGGGAAGATGCCACTAACTGTGGACCTCAACTATCCAGCTCCTTGTGAGGACATGGTTCTAAATGCCAGATTTACTTGGGACAATAGTCAACAAGGTCAAGATGAAGCACATAGTCAGTCAGAACCACAAGCTTCACTTGATTGTGAGGTCATTGATGATGAAGTTGTCATAATTTCCCCAAGGATATATGCCCAAGTAAGTGATTTTAGATTTTCTTTTATGATTCATTTTTTAATCTTCCATTGTTTTCGTATAAGCATACTTATTGATTCTTCTTCCTGCTGTCAGGCCAAGAATAACTCCAGTAGAAACCTGGAGGTGCGGGATGTGCCTGCTACCAATACAGAACAGCATAATGGCCTTTCAGGTTTTGTTGCATAGTTCTTTTTCTTTTATTCTTAAACCGTGCTTTTGTTTGATTTGATTAGTTTACACATTTTATAAGATCCCTTCTTCTGTAAGTGATTGCCATATTGTTCATAAACAAAAATGGTTGTGCTTGAAACCATTTTTAAAATTTTATTGTCTCAAAATACCGTGATGCCTGCTATTTCTTGGCAGCCTAATTTCATTCGAATTATTTCTTTTAGTTCCTCTAAACTACAGTATACCTTTGTTTTTTTTCAAGCGGAGGACCCTAGGATCCCATTGAATTCAGTTCAGGAGAAATTATAGTTATCTAAACTTATTGTGGCTCAAGTTGAAAAGTTTTAGGTAGATATTTCTTCAGTTATGTCTGGCAGTTTTTATATAGCAAGCTCTTTAAGATCTATTATTCTGCCAGTATTCTTTGTGTAAGCCATTTTCAGTCGAGAATTGCTATCCACAGCAACTGTGAGGACCGTTGCCAATTTACTCCTATTAGAATAATACACGTGTATCTCACTTGTCAAAGAAATAAATGAGTTTTTGTTATGAACTGAATTCTCATTTTACCTTTCTTCTCCTAAACCCAACGATAGCCATAGAAAACCCAACAGCCACTTCATTTTTCTTTCTATCAAAAACAAAATCTCCTTTTTGATTCTGGGAGACTTGGTTCCCCCTGCAGTATTTGGTTTTTGTAAGTTGTCTTGCTTCGCTTGTACTTATGGGCTGCTGCACCATGTTTCAATGAAGTTTCACCATTTTGACTGAAAAAAAAACCCCTAAAAAATCTCTTGCGTCGACTTCAAAGCACAGAAACAACACGTCAGAAATCTCTATTTCTTCATGCCCATAACCCATAAATCTGATATCTTTTTCTACATCTCTAGAAATAATTGATTAATGAGTAAACAGAGAACAAAACTTATTTTAATTTTTTGGAAAGAGAGATGCATGTGTAATCCTTTGAAGGTGGAAGTGAGGGAGACTCTGTGTGCAGCCGCTTTTGAGCGACTGTGAATAGCAGTGCTCTTTTCAGTCATCTACACCTTATTTAGCATTTTGATGCTTTAGGTTCTAATTTTTGAAGAGCCTTTAGTCTGACATCATTCATTCATTTCCCTCTAGGAAAGGATAAATAACTTGGCATTCCCTTTCATTCTTTTTTCCTAGAAAGAACTTCATGATTACTTTATGGTTAATGGTTTTGCGAAGGAATGGGGTAAACACAGATAGAATTTTGTATGAATACCACATAGAAAGTATTCAAACTTGGTTCTGCAGTTTTTGGGACTACCGGTTCACTCTTTTACACGTGTTCTATTTTCTTTTAGTGAATAATGCAATTTAAGTAACTATTTCAAAGTGAACTTAGTTATAAATGCTTCAAGTTCTTATTGAAGCTAGCAGTTGAGGTTGCCAAGTCAATTTATTGTGGTCACTTCTCTGGTACAAGAAGCTTCTTACATCTTTTGTTTATCTTCAGATGTGGCTGCTCAAACACATCTAATTCCTCTTCATTGCCACAAGCGTAGAAGAACTTTACGAAATCAAGCAGTTTTAAATTGGGAGCTTCACTTCAGCTCTGATGAAGACAGTGATGAAAACAAGGTGAATTAACAATTTCTTGTCATGATATTTCCTTAAGCGTAATTTATGTCTGTAATTTGTCTTCACTCGCGGTGCTGTCTTCCCATATTATTTTTGTTTATATTTGTAGTCAAAGGTTTTTTCTTCTAGATATTGATGACGTAACAGATGTTTGGTCTAGAGCCCTTTCTTTTTTGTCTGGGTCAGAAGCTTGGTGCACTTAAATTATGGAACTGCAACACTGAATGCAATCCTTATCTTTAATTCAGCTTTCAAGTAAATAGTCTCTAGCAAGTGTTGGAAGGCCTCATGATTGACTCTTTTTCCAAGTTCAGATTTCCCTACGACTGTCAGCAAATAATAAACTCATACATGGGCAACCAAAAAGAACTTATCAGAGAACATTTTATTAAGTTGAAAATCAGAAAGGAGACTAGGAAATAACACATAACATTCTGAAGGTTAATAGTATCTATGTTCAATGTTCATTTCTCAAAATTTTATTAGGTTGGAATTCTACCTACATTTTCACTGCATGGATGGTCAAGAATATGACCTTACATAAAAGAGTCAAGTTCTGTAGACATATGGTTTGTGTGAACACCTAGTCCACACATAGCTTGGAGAGGCCTTCAATAATTTTAGTTACAAACTCTGGCTTTGATAAGCTTCTCATTCTTAATCAATTGTTAATTGATTGTCAAAGTTTTAAGGCTAAACCTGTGGAGTTTTCTAATGCAGACAAAGGAAGTGCCTATTCCAGAACTTCCTCAGAGCACGCCACCTCCAGAGACACCCGCCTTCAGTTGCCCAATATGCTTGGGCCCGTTGAGTGAAGAGACATCAACGAAGTGTGGTCACATCTTCTGCAAGATGTGTATTGAAGCCTCAATAAAAGTTCAGCACAAATGCCCAACTTGTCGTAAAAGGCTTAGAATGAAAGACACTATAAGGGTCTACCTTCCTACCAAGTGATTGCAGAGTATATTTCTCTCTTTAATTGGGGTGATTGTGTTTATGACCTTTTATTTCGAGTTACTAATGCCAGGGACACCATATTTTTTGTACCACATTTTAAAACCACATGATGTGGCAAGTGATGTATAAAACATCCAATGAGATAAAATAATTTATTCACGTGGCATGTACACATCACTTGCTACATCATCTGGTATCAAATGTGGTACAAAACTGTGGCCTCCCTAGCAATATTGTTTCGAGTAGATGATTTTGTTGTAAAATACTTGGTGAACACTATTTTTCAAACTTAGGTTAGGGTTCTTTATAAGCATTTGAGTAAGTTAAGAAATCTATATGTAAATGTCTTTCATGGCATCAAATGAGGCAAGCCCTCCCATGTTGGAAGATACCCGATCATTGCTACTAATTACTCATTGAGTATGCTAATTGATACCACTTTATGATGCAGGCGGTTAGGTACCACCATGGGAAAAGGAAAATTTTGGTGAAGATTGCACAAGATCTATTGATTACCCTAGACCTTATTATGTTTGTAATAAGGGTCTTCATGCTGTATCGGGGCTGCTAGTTATTGAACTAAGAGGTTAGCTAGCTCAGGCATTTGTAAAGTTCAGAATATCTCAGTTTCCCAAACATTCTAACAGTGGGCTTTGTCAAAATGGTTCCTTTATAACCCTCGTTATGGCATTTTGTTGTTTCTATATTGTGCTAGTAAAATTCTTTGTTTCCTTGGAGGTTGAGGAATATTAAATCCTAATTGGACAATGTATTTTTTTAAAGAATTTATAATATCTGTTTTGGGTTAGTAGACAGCAGGCAGCAGTGTTTACTGAACCACAATAGTAAGCAAATGCTTCCAACAACCTCTGTTACTGCCTCTTGTAACCTTGTAACCTTGTTGCATTTCTGATAGAAAAATATACTTTGTATTTGTGTTGAACTATTAAAAGTTTCAGACTAGCAGTTAACTGTGATTATTCAGACTTCAGAGTGTACTGATTCATTCTGCAAGTGCTGATCGTTGTAGCTGAATTTATTTATTTATTTTTTGTCATTATGAGATAAGAGGGAATTGTGGTGCAAAGTGATGACCTTGAGTTTTGGGAACTTTGATTTTGACCGTTCCACATTCCATATACCAGTAGAATTCAAGGATTTACCACCAAAAAAAATAGTCACAAAATTACCAATGGGGTGTTAGTAGTAGTCCTAGGTTCTGGTTCCCATAGTGCCTACGTGTGTGTGAGTTTTCCTCCTCTCCTTTTTGACAAGGCAAAATGAAAAACCAAAAAGATCACAAAATTAAGGCTATTCTCTTGTATATATTTAAAACTCCAGAAAGAAAAAAAAAAGTTAAAAAGTTCTCTATATTGACCTATGTAAGACTAGTTTGTTATTAACACTGATTTTGACCGTTCCACATTCCATATACCAGTAGAATTCAAAGATTTACCACCAAAAAAAATAGTCACAAAATTACCAATGGGGTGTTAGTAGTAGTCCTAGATTCAGGTTCCCATAGTGCCTATGTGTGTGTGAGTTTTCCTCCTCTCCTTTCTAACATGGCAAAACGAAAAGCCAAAAAGATCACAAAATTAAGGCTATTCTCTTGTATATATTTAAAACTCCAGAAAGAAAATAAAAGTTAAAAAGTTCTCTATATTGACCTATGTAAGACTAGTTTGTTATTAACACACCAAAAAAGTAATCACATACTCCTCACTTATGAAAACATAAAGGTAGAAATTGAATTTTTAGGGCAAAATGACTTTTTTTTTAGTACAACTATAGTCTAAACTATAGGGGAGGGAGTTTAAAAAAAAAACAAAAAACAATGCTAATGTCATTCATAGTAAATTCAACTTTTAAAAAGTTTCAAAAATCAAATGATTATACATAAACAAAATATACAATTATATATTCATATGCAAAGTCAGATTGCTTGGGTTTGGAGAGTCCCCTATTTGTCTAACTTTTAATTTGAGTGAAGAAATCCAGCGTGTGTGGCTTAGTTTCTTATGTGTCATTGCCCAAATTATTCATAAGTAAAATTAAGATAAACAAAAGATGTTATTTTCAAGATAAAGAGTGTTTGTAAAATTAAAAAAAAATAAAAATCGAAGAGCCTTTTTTTAGAGTGCTGATAAACGAACCCTAAAATTAACTAAGTACACCCTAATATTTTAATCAAAATATAAACTTAAGTAAGTACACCCTATTTAACTAACAAAATAAAAAAATGTAAAAAACCATTCAATTCTTAGTTTTTCTTGGATTTTAGACTTTCTTACGACTTTTCAGCAACCAAATGGATTATAAACTTACAAAACAATACAACAAACTGTGGAGGGAAGACTTCAAGACATATTAAGCCCAGCTATTTAAAATTCAATTCCTGTAATCAGATTGGAGCCTCCAAAATGGCATGCAAACCAAGGCGCCTGAAGCTGCATGCATCTCAATTATATACAAATTATCATCCTTTGTTACCAAAATTACTTTCAATAACCACAAATTCATTTAAAATAACAATCAAACTCGAATCTTAAAAGGACCCAAAAACTAATCACCTAAAGGCTCATTTGGGAGTATTTTAGATAGGCCAGTAATCACTTCTATGGAAAATCACTTATTCATATAATCACTTTAAGTGCTTTTAAGTGATTTTATGGAGAAACACCTCCCATATGCTTCTCTCCATAATCACTTCAAATCACTAAAGTGATTATATGGAGAAGCAAGTGGGAGATGCTTCTATCCAGACGTGATTCTAGCCTATCCAATTTTATTTTTGGGAGATGCAATGTTTTTTATGCATATAGGTCTTGTCATAATATATAGAACCCATTCTTATATATATACGTAGGATTTGTTAGCTAAAGCTATGTTTCCTTGTTTTATGGGAACATTATTTCCATGTTTTATGGGAACATTGTTTCCTTGTTTCATGGAAACCTTGTTTTCTTGTTTGTAGTTGTAGGACTTGTATAAATATGTTGTAATCAATAAAAACTGATACAAGTTGAAAACCCAAAAAATTATCTTCTCTCATTTTCATATTCTCTTATATTTTCATATTCTAACTTCTCATGTTTTAGCATGGTATCAAAGCCTAATGGCTAATCCTTAAGATCCTCTGCCAAATTGAGAGTCGTTGGCGTATCTTCTTGTTTCTGTAAATCCTTTTGCTTCTCCTCTCCTCTATAATCAACATTATTTTTTTTTCTTTCTACCTTAGCTGTGTTGGGAAAGATGGCGAAAAAATAAAAGAGCCAATAAATAAATATGGCACTCCTTAGGATCTGACTTCTCCCAACCTTGTGTAAATAAAATGGGCAAAAATAATACTCTATCTTCCACTAAGAAAAATAATGGGAATACAATTATAATCTCACCAAACACCGGTGGCTAAACTCTCTCTTGGTTTTTCTCTCAAGAGGATTTTCTCTCTCACTCAAGTGAGACTTTCTTATATGAATTCCTAGTTTATAGGAATAAGGGAACGAGAGGGCTACGGCTTTTATAGCCAACATTCCTAACTAATTGGTGGTCATGCATGAAGGAGAGTTTTGTTCCTTTTCTTTTCCATTCGTTTTCTTCAAACTCTCCCGTCCTTTCTTTCATTTTATTTTACTATTTATTTTTCCTTCTTTGTCTCTCCTCCACTAATGAGGGAAACCCATCAATCTCCCCCTCCCGACTTAGGTGGAGGGCTCCAGCAGTCCAGATGCTCTTCTGCAAAATTCGTACTTATCCTTAGGTAAGGACTTGGTCATCATATCTAAACTATTGTCATCAGTATGGATCTTCTCAAGCTGTAATTGCTTAGACTCCAACACATCACGTATCCAGTGATATCGCACATCAATGTGCTTCGACCTCGAGTGAAAACTCGGATTCTTGCTCAAGTGGATCGCGCTCTGACTATCACAATGCAAAATGTATTTATGCTGCTCTTGCCCTAATTCTTGTAGGAATCGCTTCATCCAGAGCATTTCTTTGCACGCTTCAGTAGCTGCAATAAACTCTGCCTCTGTAGTTGATAGAGCAACACATTTTTGTAACTTTGATTGCCACGAAACTGCTCCCCCTGAAAATGTAATCAGGTATCCTGAAGTAGATTTTCTGGAATCAAGATCTCCTGCCATGTCTGCATCTGTGTAGCCAACCAATTCAGGTTTTCCACCTCCAAAGCATAAACTCATTTTGGAGGTACCCCTAAGATATCTGAGAATCCACTTCACAGCATTCCAATGCTCTCTGCCTGGTTTAGACAGGAATCTGCTTACAACGCCAACTGCGTGCGTTATGTCTGGCCTCGTGCAAATCATTGCATACATCAGACTACCAACAGCTGAGGAATATGGCACCATAGCCATGTTTTCTTTTTCTTTCTCACATTTAGGACTCTGCTTTGAACTAAGCTTGAAGTGACTAGGAAATGGAGTAAAAACTGGTTTTGCTTTATCAATGTTAAACCGTTTTAGTACCTTCTCGATATACCTTTCTTGTGATAACCTCAACTTCCGTTTTTTCTATCACGGGATATACTCATACCGAGGATTCGTTTTGCGGGTCCTAAGTCTTTCATAGCAAAAGACTTGCTCAACTCTTTCTTCAGCTTGCTAATCTTGTCACTATTTTGTCCTACGATCAACATGTCATTGACATAGAGAATAAGTATGATGAATTCACCATCATAAAATCTTTTCACAAATACAAAATGGTCTGAATTAGTCCTCCGATATTTGTGTTCAATCATGAAGGAATCAAACTTCTTGTACCATTGTCGAGGTGCCTGCTTGAGTCCATATAAGCTCTTCTTCAGTCAAATCTTCTTTGCCTTTGACTTTGAAAGATTCAGGCTTGCAGCCAAACCGAGTACAACCCGTATGGATGACATCTTCACTACGGGTGAGAAAATCTCTTCAAAGTCAATTCCTTTCTTCTGACTGAAACCTTTCACAACTAGCCTTGCCTTAAACCTGGGCTTAGAGTTGTTTTCTTCCGTCTTCAGTCGGTACATCCATTTGTTCTTGAGTGCTCTTCTACCTTTTGGTAGGTTCACCAGATCATATGTGTGGTTCTCATGCAGAGATTGCATCTCTTCATGCATGGCTTTCAACCACTCATCTTGTTGATCATGAGTCAATGCTTCTTCATAGCATTCTGGTTCTCCCTCGTCTGTTAGGAGAATGTAATCATCTGGAGAATCATATGTGTGGTTCTCATGCAGAGATTGCATCTCTTCAAGCATGGCTTTCAACCACTCATCTTGTTGATCATGAGTCAATGCTTCTTCATAGCATTCTGGTTCTCCCCCGTCTGTTAGGAGAACGTAATCATCTGGAGAATACCTACTCGGAGGTCTCCATACCCCGGTCGATCTTCTTGGTTGGAATTCGGCCGCTTGCTCTTCATGGGCTTGTGCTTCTAGCCCCTCATCAGCTACATCATCTACTATACCATCAGTTGTTTGACCATCACTCATGTCATCATCAACTGGTTCATTAATAATAGGATCATTAGCTGGATCATCAGTATCATTGGATTCATCTCGCCTGTCATTGTGCTCCAATAGAGGAGGAACTGGATCCAAGTTAGCTAGATATTTTCTAGGATTATCAGGTTTATCATCTCTTCGAATGTCTTCGATGTTCTGATCTTCAAAGAAGACAACATCTCTACTTCTAATAATCTTTCTAGCTACAGGATCCCATAACCTGTAACCGAATTCTTCATTCCCATATCCCACGAAGATACATTCTTTTGACTTTGCGTCGAGCTTGGATATCTTGTCTTTAGGAATATGAACAAAAGCTCTACAACTAAAAACTTTCAGATGTTTGTAGGAAACGTCTTTTCCCGACCAGAACTTGTTCGGGACATCACCATTCAAAGGTGCTGAAGGAGAAAGGTTGATTAGATCAACCGCAGTCATCAGGGCTT